TTGTAGAAATGTAAAGAAGTGGTTTGCAAGAGAGACTCTTAGAAAAAAATAGTGCCTCTCAAATATAAACTCAGACAAATTAAAGCTTAAACAATAGTTAAAAAGCAACAGAAAGCAATCCATACAAAGATTTTTGCCCAAACTATATTGATTTAAATTTTGCAACTATTGAAGTTGAGAAAGACATACCAGATAAAATACTTTTCAAAATAGAAGGCATACACTTTTTAAAAAAATAAAACAAAATCTTTTTAGTTGGGGAAAATAATGATAAATAAAAGTTAAGATGTTGCTAGCTCCTCGACATGAATACCTTTGAAGAAATCTAGAAAAAGGATATTAAAGAAAATCTATAAGTTTTAATCACTTAAAATTCTTGCAGTAATTATAATCTATTTAATTTTTCTCCTTGCGGAAAATATTTACTATTAAGCATTAGACCTACCGAAATAGAAGATCCAAGATTATTAATAAAAATTTACTTAATTGAGGATTATCTCAATGATTCATTGCCAACTGTCATAATATAAGATTAATAAATGCTTGGAACTTTCAAAAATGTGATGTTTGGACCTAGCGACCAAATTATTTTTTGCCAGCAATTACCAATTGATCATGTCAAAAACAAAATTGAACTAGGTAATGAGTACAAAAGTCTTGTTATCTTTAAATGTAATTACAAAAAGCCAGAATAAAAGGAACATAACCAAAATGACTGGCTAATAGGAGTCTAAAACATAGAAGAAGAATAAAAGCCTAAGGAATATAACTTACCTGATGAAATTTGTAAATATTTAGTTGGATATCCTGAACTTGAATTATCTGATTATTTTATTGATAAGTTCTTATTTGGGACTTATAATAAATCTAAAACCTTGGTAATTGAACTTGAAACTCTCAATATTAAATATAGCCTTGATCAATTAATATATTTTAGTCAAGACACAGAATATTTTGGATTTGATCATCAATTGAATATTTTTAATGTAGCTAGTTTATCAGATGGAAAGATTGAAAAAATAAGTAAACTTATTCCTCAAGAAGGTTTTGTATTTGACTGTAAAAAACCTATAGTTACTTAAAATTCAATAATAATCAAATCTAGAGATACAAGTAACAAGAAAACTGCATTTTTAGTCTATGATAAGTTTAGATTAAATATAATAAACCAATATATATTAAAAGAAGCTTTAGAAGAATAAAGCACACTTATTTATTATCACAATAGACTCTTAAGATTCATTAATAATGAAAAGAAAAAAATTGTAGAAATTAAACTATACAACTCAACGTATGAATAAGAGGATAACAATGTAATTTAAAATATATATTAAAATTTTCATGCTGATGAATCCTTCTAAGTTTATTCTTCAGATGGCCTTAATTATGTTTACGATATTAATGAGTAAAGAATCATCAACACTCTTCCATCACATTTTAAATTTAACTTTGGAATGTTTATGAAACTGGGCAATATATATTACTTAGTGTAAAATCGTTTATCAAACAATCTTTATCTAATTAAGCAAGATTAATCCCAAGAATTTAATGAAATTACCTTTAAAAATGGAGAAACATATTACAATGATATTCATTAAATTATTTCAATATCAGACAAAGAAATTAAAATAATGGGACTTTCTGATTAAAAATTTGAAATGCTTAAAATAAATCTTACTGATTATACCGCAGAAATAACTAAACTTGATGAAAATCTCAGAAATTATAAAAAGCAGGTACATAAAAATGAATCAGGAGAAATATTTGTAATATCTTATGCATAAAAATAAGTAGCTATTTATAGCATCAAATAGAGAAAAAATATATTGTAAATACTAAGAGCAGAAGAATAATTAGTTGAAGATCTTGCAATAAGCTTTATTTAAAATGCTATTTTTGTTTTATAAGAAAAGAACACAATTAAAGCTTATAACATTACTACTGGCGAGTCATTAAAAAGTTTGGATAAATAATTTCAAATCACTAATTAAATAGTTGTATCAATTAAAATTATATAAGACTACCTTATGATTGAAAAGATAGGTAAAAGAATGACTAAAGAGTTACATGAAATAAAAAATGGTTCTTTCACCTCGAAAGTAATTAAATTTTAAAGTAGCCAAATTGATAAATTTGAAAACTACCGAATTGACACATATTATACGGCAAATCACGACACCTAATATAACCAATATAGTGATTCTAGAAATAAGATAACGGTAGAAGATCACTAAATATCTTTGATTTAAAAAATTGATCCATTAAAATTATAGCAAGCAAGTAATTCCCTCAACTTAGATTACCCACTTATTTAGCTTTGTCATGTCCCTTAAGCAAAATATATAGTAATAGATAAATAAAATGGTATGAGCTTTTATCACAACTAAGGTGATAAAAGGATAGCCCTGCTAAAAACTTACTTTACAACAGATGAATATAATTAGATAAAAAGAGTTGATGAAATATTGAATACTGATAATCCTTTAAACAAAATAAGTGATATAAGCACTTATCTCAAATTTTATCCAGGAATAGGAAATATCTTAAATATAGTTGCTCTTAAACCAATTTTTCTTGAAATTATTTCAAAAAAACTCTAACTAATGGATAAATGTGACATTCCCATGATCTTGATGAAGAATCAAATTAATGGTAATTCACCTATAGATATTGCTTGTTAGAGTAATCAATTAAAAAGTTTAAATATTCTCTTCGAACTTCTCACTAAGTACTAGGATGATCATGGATTCAATTATTTGATGGACAATTAATTAATCTACTTAATTAAAAAAGGTCTTAACTTGTAGGAGTATTTCGAAAGTTCATTACCGAAATTCCAGATCATAAGTGAATAATATCCTTATCAGCATTCTGATGCTTATTAATACATCAAGGGTGAGAATAATTTAAGCACACCAAGTGATGTCAAAGGAAAATATGAAGATATATTTACATTTGAAAATACGCTAGAAGAAAGTCAAACTTCTATTGAATACTACCTCATTAATCTACCTGAAACTTTGCAAAAACTGGAGCTTATTAAAGCTCTTAGTATTACTAAGAATCTTGACTACTTTGACAATCTTACCATTCAAACAATCATTTAGTTCAAATGGAGAGAATATACCAAAACATTCTTTAAGCTTAAATTTTTTATCTTTTCACTATTTGTTTTTTCATTGGTATTTGAGATTTGGTATTCAAATTACAAGGGTAAGACTTAAGCTTAACCTTCAAATGATGATAAAAACATAGGTATAACAAGTTATCCAGATTCAAGAGATTTAACTTTAATGATTATAAATAAAAGCATATGTTTTACTGTATTACTCTGCTTTTTTTTCTATGAAGTAATGTAATTAATAAAATAAAGATCAGAATATTTTAATGATAAATGGAATCTCATTGATTTTCCTCTTATACTATTATATATGATTCTTTCAGCTATTGATTTCTATACTGAAAATAAGGATGGGATTGTCATTTTACAAATAGTTGTTGTTTTCTTTACATTTCTTAAAATGATTTTTTATCTTAGAATATTTGATAGACTTTGCCTTTTATTATCAATGATGATTAGTGTCATTAGTGATATTTTATTATTTATCTTTATTTTTGTGATCTTTATTATCACATTTGGATTTATATTTCTCATTCTATTAAGCAATGAAAAAATGCATGAATACAAAGAAATCGGATTTCTGGGGTATTTTATAATGATTTTTAGAAGTTCTTTGGGTGATTATACGATTGAAGATCATCAAAATCAGCATTCATCACTTATGATTATTATAACCTGGACAATATGGATAATTGCAGTTATGACAATTAATATTGTTTTCATGAATTTCATAATTGCTGTTATCTAAGATTCTTATGAGAAAATGATGCAAAGATCTGTTGCATAGTCATATTAAGTTAAAGCTAAACTGATTAAAGAGAGAGAATTATTTATGAATCCTATGAAAGATGATAAAAACTTCCCTAAGTATTTAATCTTAAGAAGACCTATCATTACATTTGACGACGATTCAGGTAATCATTAATTGGATTAACTTATATATTATAGGAGAATGGTAAGGTTTTATCAAAGATCTAAAGTATACTATTAGAACAACAACAGGCAAATCTAAAGCAGAAATTCTTTAGAATCTTCACTCAATTCAATCTAAAAATAATGAAGGTCTTGATGAAAAAATTCGTTCATTGAATTAAAAACTTGACCAAGCATAAGAGATTAGCAAGAATGAACTTTAGAAATAATCTAAAGGTGTTAATGAGCTTGATGTATAAGTTAAAAGACTAGATGTATAAGTTAAAAGACTAGATGCACAAGGCAAAGGACTTGATACCAAAGTTGATAGACTTGATGTATAAGTTAAAGGACTAGATACCAAAGTCAATGGACTAGATACTAAAGTTGATGGACTCGATACCAAAGTTGATGGACTCGATACCAAAGTTGATAGTCTTGGTACTTCGGTACTTAGAATCCAAGATGATATGGAATTCATTAAGAGTTCCTTAACTTAGTTACTTCAAAACTAAAATCAGTGATAATTTCCTGAATATTTGAAGATAAAAAATAAGTCTTTATGACTCAATTTCAATTAAAATGCAATTGAAACTTGCTTTTGCATTTAAGAATTGAGAGACTTCAAAACGATGATATTAGAAATAATTTAATCCCATAAATTATTAGATTATTATATTTCTTAAAACTTTGACATAATAATTTGTGAAATCTTCTCATGGGGTTTTGGGGTTTTGGGG